CATAATCCTCCTAAATTAGATTCATACACCATATCTTTTTATCTCATGTAATATAAAAATGAAGGTTATTGTTAGAGCTTATACGGGGTGTTCAGTCAAGGAGGATACTTCGCAACACCGTTGACCAGGCCCAATATTCCTCACAGATTGCTGCTGTAACTGTAAGGGTGCACATTTATCAGCGCTAATGACTCATTCTGCTATCAGCAGTTACAGTAGCAATCTTTGAGTAATGTTGGGCCCTATCAGAGGTGTTGCAATGTTACGTCCTTAACTGAACACACTGTACTTGTATAACGTTAATGTATTTAATTATTTATTATATGAAACTAAATTGATTGTTAGAGCAGTTATTGTTATTGAATAGTTGTACTTTTTTTTAATAAATGAAATTTTATTAATTGTATTTTCTTGTTTTTCTTATACATGAATTTTTTGTGATGTTGAAAACTTATCTTCCTAAAGTATTCATTCTTCAAGTTATAAAATTTAATTTCAGAGCCACATTTGTCTGCCCCTCTTGCATATGACCTTGAATGTCCTTTGCATCTGTCTGAGTTTGATTACTGAATTGTATCCATTTTGTGTTAGTCTTGAATTGAAAGCGCAGGAGGATTTCACTGTTGGAATTGGTGGCTGCCCCCTGTAGCTGAATTGCACATGTCCGTATGGGTTTGAGTACTGTTTTGTATAGGGGGAGTTTGCTTTAGAAAGTCCATTTTTGGCTATGCTTGTTTGTGTCTTTAGTTACTAGAACATAGTTCTTTCTAATCTCATCTGTAGAAATGCTTTGACACTTTCCATGACAGTGGTTTTAACTGTTAGGCCTGTTGAAGTGTCAGACTTCTGTAATGATGGTTTTTTTTGACTGTTCAGTTTGCATTATGAGTCTGATCTTCAGAGGTCTTCTGTATTAATGGAAAGTGTTGTTAGATAATCCACTTAGAAAAGGGGGGGGGGAAGAAAGTAACTAAAAGAGTAGCTCTTCTTTTGGTGTCAGTGGTTCTTCTGGTATATAGACTACAGTGTAGAGAACAGGTGCATATCACAAGTTTTTGGTGTTAATAGGGAAATTTATGAATGATTTGTGTATGGTATTCGGCTGTTGCTGTGTGGGGATGGTCTAAGGCACACAAACTGTATCCCTGCCCCTAAAGAAATAAAAGAAGAAGAAGAAGGAGAGCAAAATGTTGGCTTTGTTTGAGCATAAACATTTTCATGGCGTTCTTAGGTATGTATATTGATATCATACTGAAGCATAATTTACATGCCTAGATTTAATGGCTCAGCTGTTGCTGTTGTCCACTTAAAGAAGAAGCGGTAATTCTTGTTTTTCAGCATTACTGGTGGGAAAATTATGAATAAATGTAACAGTTTACATATGCCATCTTTCCAGTAAGTTACTAACTATATAATTTCTCAAATCTTACATATATAATTTCTCTTTTCAGTGAGGTGTACCAAGGCAGGCAATAAATTTGTGGCTATGAAGAAAGTTTTAATGCAGTCTGGATACGAAAAAGTAAGTACAAGTTTACAGTGAAACATTTTTGTTAGAAATGAAGGGTGTAGTGTGTGACCTCAAGGGCACTCGTTCTGCTGGCAGATAACTATCATTAAAACTTGAGAAATGCCATTAATTTGTACTCAGTCCAGTGCATGCATGTCCTCGTCATGACTCCTGGGTGACGCTAAGTCATGCAAGGGTGAAAGAGCGAGTTCCTGAAGCCCCAAAATTGGGTAGATAAACTCAACAGAAAACATGTGTCCTTTAGGATTTCTGGGGAATGGGTGCAGGGTTAACAACCCTGCACTGTAAAAATCACTTGTTAAGAAAGCTCAAGAAACAGCTGGCCAGACCAATCTAAGACAACACTGTAATGTGGAAAGGTCTAAGGATACATGGTTTTTTACTGGGAATGTACTGTTGCCATTTAGACCAGGTTCAGTTAGGTTGCTTACAGGTGTCCTCTCTGACTACAGAGCAGATATTACTAAGGAGAGAAAATGGAGAAATTATAAAAACAAAGAGTGCTTGTAAAACAGGAAGGGAGAAGGCAGAAAAGTAGATCAGGAATGAGGAATGAGATGGATGGATGGTGTGGAGAAGGATTTGAGGAACTTGGATGTATTTAACTGGAAAACCAAGGTTTGTTTGTAGAGCAGGCCAAGACCCACAAAGAGCTATAGTGACAATAGTAATAATAAGTCAGGTTTTTTAATACTTTGTTTTAATATTTTAAGACTCTTAGTAAGGTGTAGATGTTTGTTTTGGATTTTGGAATACACTATATAATCGGTGTGTATGATGGTGATTTGAAAAGTGACAGAAGTACGTACATCAAATTTTTCCATTTTATTTTGTAAAATCTCGGTTGTACACAGTAGAGTGTGAGTGAGTTATTTGGTGAATTGTTGTGTTTGGCAGGAATTATTACAGAAATTTATATATATATATNGCAATAGCGGATTGAAAAACGGCATCCATGTCTCATCCATTGTCACAGTTGATGAAAAGAAAGTCCCATTCATGCCTTCATCATTGCCATGCGTGCAGCCTTGTGGTCATCCGCCAAAATTCGTGGAACCCACCTGGAGGACACTTTCCGCATTCGCAGGTCTTCATGCAGGATTTTGTGCACAGATCCCACGGAAATGCCAACTTTGGGGGCGATGTTCTCTACACTCAATCGGCGATCCTCCAAAACAACTTTCTCAACTCACTCGACCATGTTGTCAGACCGGCTGGTGTGAGGCTGAGATTGTTTTGGTTCGTTGTCACACGACGTTCGGCCTTCTTTGAACTGTCGCACCCACGAACACACATTTTTCACATTCATGACACCATCACCACATGTCTCACTCAACTGGCGATGAATTTCAATGGGTGTCGCACCACGCAAGTGGAGAAAACGAATGATTACTCGCTGTTCTTGTAACGAAAACGTCGCCATTTTAAGTATCAAAAACACTCCTCACACTCGCGGCTACCACTAGAGTTCTGTGTGCCGTAGAGTTCTGCCATCTCTGTCACGCATTCACAAAGAGTGCACACGTATTTTAAACAAAACCGCATGTGTCTATCTGCTCCCAGTCCTGAGAAAAAAATTCTGAGACCTTAGAACTTGAACGCCCCTCATATATGTTGCAGCTCCCCATCAGGACCTTGCGGGAAATTGACATTTTGCATCATCTGAAGCATGACAATGTGGTCAACCTGATAGAAGTATGCAGATCCAGAGGTTTGTGTATACTTTATTCTTTAAACTAAAACTGGAGAAAGTAATGTGTACAGTTTGTTCTGTTTTTTCTTATTTTGAACAAAATATTAATCTGTCAACATTTTGTGCCATTGTATTCTTTTCATACAGCCCTACTTTCCTTGTGTAACGATGAAGGATAGGCTTGTGTGTCCTCATGCCTTGCATATGTAATTTGTTATTATCTTTTGCAGGTACTCAGTACATGTATGAGACCGGCTTCTATCTGGTCTTAGAATTCTACGATCATGATTTAGCTGGCCTGTTGTCGAATGGTAATGTGACGATTACTGTGGGAGAGAGAAAAAACCTGATGCTCCAGTTACTACACGGCTTGTGCTACGTTCATAGTAATAAGGTATGTATAGACAGTAAGGTTAGAATCTCAGAGCTCTGTGAATTTGACACAAGAGAATCAGAATGCAAGTGACATTTATCATAACCAATTGTTGAATATCACACCTGAGAATAGCCAACGGGCCACCACTTCAGTGCCGCAGTGCACATAAGAAATGATGGTGCTGTGATTCATTTAGCAACTAGATCTCTTATAAAAGAGTCCAAGAACTTGCCTCAGGAAAGATGTTGGCCACATGGAGAAGTTATTATATTGTTCCTTCAGTAAGAATAGTAGAACAGTAAACCTGTTTTTTCTGCTCATTTCCATATATCCATAAATCATCAGTATTAAGAAGGGAAAAAATAATTACTCTTTATTTTTTACTTGTAATCTTACCTGAGGGTGTTTGAGTACAGGGTGGTGATGAGAATATTTGGACTGAATAGGGATGAAATGTTAGGAGTTTCAGAAAGTTGCATAATGTGGCGCTTCATAAGTTGTACTCTTTGCCAAGTATAAGTGAAATGATCAAGTCAAGGAGGATGAGTTGGACATGTCCTGTAGCATGCATGGGTAAAGATGAATGCCTGTATGCCTGTAAGATTTTGGTAGGAAGCCAGAAGGAAAGAGCCCACTAGGAAGACCTAGACGTAGATGGGAGGATATGATTTTTTGGTTCTGTTTTTTTTTTATTTTGCACAATATTAACCAACAATTTGTGCCATTGTATTTTTTTCTTCTATCCCTACTTTCCTTGTTTAGCGAGGAAGGACAGGCTTATGTGTTTTCTTGCCTTGTATATGTAATTTGTTACTATCTTTTCCAGGTCCTCGGAACCAGTGGCATGCGGTACCATTTTTGGTAAGGGAAGCCGTGGTATCTAATAAACGAACTGATAGCAATCAACTCACCAAAATTTATGTCACTTATTGAGTCAATAAGGTCAGTTTGTATTCTGTTCGATAAACTGTTCGCAAGGTGAACATTGAGTTTATAATCATATTCCCTCAACAAGTTAACTAATTCCACATAATTACCTCGATCGATAGAATCCACGCTTCCGTCATGACCACGGAGGCCAAGTTGCCACTTTCGTAAATAGCAGGTGATATCAATCAAGCATTATTTCTCTATTTTCTTTCACATTTTCAATCTACTGTAGTATCATCAGGCGCTTTTGATTGTCAAGTTGACAGTCAATTCAAGATTTCCCGAACATAATAAGTTGCATTGTTGAAATAATGTCAGTCTGAGAGTTCTCATGTCGTTTCAATGCTTTATGAAGGCTGTTGATATCACCAAACCCAGTCTTGTTTCATACATTTTTTTCATTGAGAAACAACAGGCATGGCCAACAAAACAATTTTCCTATATTATGGCAACTGGTAGCCACTCTGTTTTAGAATACTGTTCCAAATTAAGTTTCCTCACACATAATTTGGTTTGTGCTTTAAGTTCTGGCATCTCTGGCACTCTTTCACTATGCTTCTGTAGGAAGCACTTGTACAGAAACGCATCTACATAACTGTTTTCACAAGTCTAAGTGTTCTCCTTTGCAGCCCTGCTTCATCTTTGAACTCTACATATGAATGCCATTCATCTTATGTTTTCACCCAACCACATATTCCTTCTGGAATGTCACACTTGTGGATAAAGCTGGTATTAATTTGCCATTCTTAACACCTTTTGATGATTTAAAATTTTTCCCTGATTGTATAATTGTCTCTTTTGGTTGTCATTACTATAGCATTAGTCACTACTTAATGATTGTTAGTAGAGTGTGGTAGTTTTAGTGACTTCTTGGCAGGTCTGCAAGATTTTGGACTATCTGTGATCAAGAAGGTGAAAGAGGTGCTTGTTAAATTTTTCTGTTTGAAGAAAATGATTCCAAGGTAAGAGAAACCTGAAACATATATCTCATACTGTAACTAAAATATTTCATAAATCATGTGTAATCAATCATACTGGGGGACATGATCAACATTGTGGTATATCATAATACGTGATATAATGAGGGCCTACTTATATCGTGAACTGTTGCATCCTATTTAATTAGAAGAAAGTTATTAATTGTTTTCCCTCCATGATATTTTTTTAGATCATGCATTGAGATATGAAGCCGGCCAATATAATTCTGACAAAAGCTGGAATATTGAAACTAGCAGATTTTGGTTTGGCGAGGCCATTTACTGCCAGCCAGTGTAATCGGTAAGTTCTGAACTTCCTTTTGAATCCATTCTTTTCTGTGCTTCACACAGTTGTAGCCTCTGACATTTTATATTACAATAATTTGAGAGATGCTAAATATTACAGATACATTATTTTTACTTTTTAATTCTTTAAAGCTGGTCAGAAGTGCACCATACGATGGTTTATTAAGAACACATGGTTGAAAATGTTGATGCCAACATGGTATGCGCTTTTCTGAAAACACAAGAAGTTGGCATTTGGTCTGTGAAGAAGGTGCTCATTCCTTGTGTAAATGCTGTGTACAGTTGAATTAGTCTGAAAAAGTTCTTGTTATTTAAGTTGGAGTTCATTAATGACAGTTATGTTTTCACATTGAAGGAATAAGATCTCCTATCTCTTAAATAGATGTCTACATGAATTTCTAGGTTTGAGATCTGCCGTGTTTCTGACAATTTTATTTTGTAATGTAAACATATCTTGCTGTTAGGTGAATTACCTCAGCAGATGTTTCCATACCTCATTATAGAGTGAAAATAAGCAAATTAAATTGATATGAGAGGGCTAGTGTTGCAGAGAAGTGTCACATCCCAGAACATTACAGTTTTCATATTCACCTCTGTGAGAACGTAAAATCTCACACACTCCTTTCCTGGCACACTGTCTGCAGAGAACCTGGCAGATGATGATCCATAAAACACCAAGTTATATGCTTAGTCTTGAGAATTGTAGTACACTGTAGTGTTTAATATAAAGTTGTGTGTTTATTTTTCAGGTATACCAATTGAGTCATAACTTTGTGGTATCGACCACCAGAATTGTTGCTAGGTGAACGCAACTGTGGGCCAGCAGTTGATATATGGGGTGTTGGCTGCATTATGACAGAGATGTGAACAAAATTTCCCATCCTGCAAGGGAATACGGAGCAGAGTCAGCTGAAATTGATTACAGCTGACCCTGCTCCGTATTCCCTTGCAGGATGGGAATACGGAGCATGGCCAGCTGAAATTGATTACAGATCTCTTTGTCTCTGTCAATCGAGGGGTGTGGCCTGGAGTTGAGTCCTTACCACTGTACAATAAGATAGAGTTACCACGTGGAGGGAAACGTAAGGTATGTTAAGACAAAGCGAGCTGGCCATTTGCTTTTGGCTCATTGTGAATAATTTTTAGAAGAGTTGTATCTGCTTATGCTGTTAATTTGAATACAGTGAACCAGAGTGTTCAGCTATTGTAGAACCATATTTATTTCAGTGTTTTTAATGTAGCAGAATTTGTACTGTTCTTTTCATGTTGGTAACAAAGATACCTTGCTGTGTGAGAGGCTGCATTCTCAGTAAAATGTTTATTTTTATTATGAAATATTCTTGATGATTGTGTATTGTGTAATCTGTTGTCTCCTTGGATGAATTTGTGTAATTGGTTTTCAGTATAAAAATAGGAAAGACTGAGAAAATATATGAGAGACAGAATTAATATTTTGAAACTGAAAAATATTAGAACCTTGTATAGGACATAGGACACAGACTTGTAAGTCATTCCTCTGAAACATTGGGCTTTCTCAGAACAACTTGTGATTAACCCAGAAGAATGTACTGTTCCCCTCAAACACAGGATCTTTGAGAAATAACTCGTGGCTTGAAGAAGAAATATTCAGTAGCCTAAACACACGAGAATGTTGCAGAAGGGAAGATATTATTTTTTTTAAGCATGTGTGTTCCTGTGATGGCATACATGAAGCAGCACTGCGATGTTATTTGCCTCATTGTTTCATTTGTCACTGTAAGCTGTGGAGCCTGTGAGGTGGCTTAAGGCATAACTTGCATTGAAAGGTTCCTATCACATAATCTGTTGTGTATATAGGTTTACTAGCAGCTATGCACATACTCTAATGTCTTCCACATAACACTGCATGTTTGCAACATGATGGTGAGGTATTGCTTTAAAACATAATGCTCAACGAAGTCATTCTTGTGTTCCCACTTTTATTCTAGCAAAATATATGCAGTTTTAAAATTTCTTCATAAAGGTCATAATTTCATGTTTATATCTGTGTCTTAAACAGAGAGTAACTGTAGGAATGCACCTGAACTATATCAGTACCAACATTGGTGTAAAGTGGATAGGGAAGTATAACTGTTAAAGGGAGGTGTGGAGGGGTGGACCAGTGAGACTTCTGTCTGAGCCCTATGTACATTTCTGATAAACCTGTAGGAGTGATGTATAGAAAAAATTCCGTGATTTTAGTATGCATGCAAAGTATACCGACCTAGCGACCGCCGCTTGTCTGCAATGTTAGTGCCAACTTTAGCCAATAGACTGTGTCGCATGGTCAGTGCCACAGATCACCACGGCCATTAATCTCGGTTCTTTATACTGGAGCCACTGTTGTCATGAAATAGCTCCTCATTTATCCTCACGAGTCAGAGTGGATCCCATTTCAGACCCACTATTTCTCAGAAAATCTGGCAGTGCCGGGAATCAAATCTGGACCTCTGGACCTGTAGGCAGGAACTTCTGACCACTAGACCACAGAGGCGGTCATAGTAGTGATGTAGTTTTTTAAAAATATTAGAGGGAAACAATTAGTATGTTAAAATTTTACAGCTTCTGTCCTCTCACATAACTCTCTCCAGTCATTCTGTGTCACAAGTAACTGGAAAATTTTAATATTTAAAATACTTCATTGAGAGAATTGTGTTTCAGGATCGCCAAGAGATGAGCAGCATAACAAGCGCTTTTGCTGTGGGAGTGAAGTATCTACATTCTCTCCCCCTGGCGCAGCACATAATGGCTGGACTTTGGATGACTCAGTGGCCAGACTGAGTAGATCTCGGCCAGAACCAAGGTTAGAGCAGCCCTGTGTACCAGTTGAGAGTGTTGCTGCAGCTATGCAGGAAGAAGAGGGGACATTGTCATTTTCATAGCCAGCGCACCTTAATGATGTGGTACTGGATTCACAGCTCCATGCTACTCAGCCATCTACATGGACTTCCAATCAGGTATGTAGTGCGAAGAAAGCTCTGAATCTAATAATTTTTTTAAAAAAATGAGTTGAAGTCAGTGTGTTTTTTTCACAGAATACTTTCCAAATCCTGGTGCAATGCATGACATGCTTTTGTATATGTACAGACTATATGGAAACAATTGAAAAACTATGCAAATTACTTGATAAATTGAGTTATACCTGGAAAATTGCAGCCAAAGTGGTATGTAATCATCGATTTTCACTGATTGCTTGGGCATGCCTGGTGTGCATACAGTTCTCTCCTGTGTCTTACTGGTCTTCTGTTTCTGGATCATACTAAAACACCCGACACTTAACCATTGTCGCTGCCACTTGAAGTTACTTAAAGCGCAAAGAAACCTGTGGGCTTTTCCATCCCTTTGCGCAACCATCTTGCTTAAAAACAGAGCATGTTTCTTTTCTCATATTTTGCTGTCTACTGTGATTTTTGGGTGTCATTTTGGCAGTTTGATTTGCATGTTCATTCAGAACTTTGGTCAGAATGAATTTTGCAGATCCTATATTTATCTTTGGACCTCCGCTGTGGTCTGGTGGTCAAAGATCCTGCCTACGGATCCAGAGGTGCAGGTTGGATTCGTGGCTCTAGAAGATTTTCTGAGAAGTAGTGGGTCTGGAACGGGTCCACTCAGCCTCGTGATGATAAATGTGGAGCTATTTCAAGGAAATAGTGGCTCCGTTCTAGAAAACCGAAATTAATGGCCAAGGAGATTCATTGCA